CAGGGGCAGCCGCTCCTCCACCCACAACTGCGAGCAAGGGCATCCCTTGAGCCCCGAACGGCACCCATGGGTGCCCCCGGGACGCCAGACCCCGCCACAGCGAGGATGCTCACCATCTCGTCCTCCAGATCCCGTCCGAGCTGGTAAATGGCCTTGGTGGTCTCCAGCTCCTTCCTCCTCCTCTCCAGTGGCTCCAGCAGGTCAAGGAATCGCTGCCGGAGCCTCTGCTCGTGGCCATCAGCATCTGGCACAGCCCCGGCAGGGGGGGTCCCCTGCCACTCCAGCTCCTCCAGCTCCTTCATCCGTGCTCCCACTTGCTCTTCCAACCTCTGGGAGGGAAGAGCCGTGTGAACTGGAGGGGCAGAGCCAAACTGGGGACCTCCAAGTCAATGGCCGACCCCGTTTGGGGACATGACCTGGCACCCCGGACCGCCAAATGGAGGGCAGCACATCCCTACCCAAAGGAAAAGGCGAGGTGCCAACACCCTTCCACCCCCCCAGCCGCTCGGCCGGCAGTGTCACCACCCACCGTCAACCTCTTCAGCAGCAGGTTGGTGGAGGCGAGGTCCTTGGCCTGCTCGGCAGCGCGTAGCTCCTCCTTCGCCCTCCCCAGCCAGCTCTCCAGCTCCTCGTAGCTCCGGGCGTAGAGCGCCGAGCGGTTGGCCTCAAAGAGCTGCCGGCCCTTCTCCTCGGCGGCCCCGCGCACCCCATCCCCCCGCCGGCGCAGCTCGTCCAGCCGTCGCATCACCACCTCGCCGTACTGCGGCTTGCGGCTCACCAGCTCCTTCCCCTCCTGCCAGCAACACCCAAGAGGTTGGTGGCCGCCACGGCGCGGCTCCACGTCGGCACAGGGACCTCCCGCCCAGGCCGGGGCAGAGGCAGTGAGGCTTCCAGGCACCGGTGCTGGCACCCACCGTCTCAATCTTCTCCAGCCAGCCCTGGTTGGACGCCAGCTCAGCCATGAATGCCTGGTGCTTCTGCCACTTGCTGTGGAGGCCGCGGGCTTCGCCGTAGGAGGTGTCCTGTACCATCAGCATCTTCTCATCCACCCAGGCGTCAAGCTGTGGGCAAGAGGTGTCAGGGCTTGGCCGGCCGGGACACCCCGGCGCCACCGGCGGTGCCACGTCCATACCTCTCGGCAGCTCTGCAGGAAGGTCTGCAGCTCGTGGTTGTCCTCCAGCAAACCTGCCGCCTCCTCCGCCTTCGCTGTGACGGCCCCGTGCCTGGCAGGGCGACCAGAGATGGGCAGCGTCAGGCCTGTTGCCCGCACGCTGCCCGCCCGCCGGCCCCTCGCCGGACTCACCGCTCCTGGAGGGCCTGGCACTTCTCGGTGATCTTCTCGGCAAAGATGTTCCCCTCAGCCACCAGCTTGGTGCCACCGGCCACTGCCTCGGGGACCTTCTCGGCGTTACTCTCCATGCCGGCGCGGAAGTCCTGGAAGCGGCGCAGGGCGGCAGCCGAGCCCTCCAGCGTGGTGGGCAGCTCCAGGTGTGCCAACGTGTACTCCTGGTGGGGGTACGGTGGGAGGTCAGCACCTTTTTGGGGTACCCATGAGCCAGGAGACCCCACCCCGGCACCCCTTTTGGGCACCCACCTGGTTGGTGAGGAGGATCTCTGCCTGCTTGGCATCGCGGAGGAACTCCTGGAAGCCGCGACACTGGGCGAGGAAGCGATGCCGGGTCTCTGCCATCTTGCCTAGAGCGGCCCAGCCCACCTCCACGCCGCGCAGGACCTGGC